TATTTCTAGACCAATACATGTTTGCGATCACAAAATAGAATAAACTGTTGGAGTTATAGGGGTAATATGAGACCATGAGAAACAAGCACCAAAGTAGCTAAATTGTTAAAAGAACGCTAYGAAACATTTTTTTTCTTAAACTGCTTTAACCAAGCTTCATTCATCAAAAATAATATCAAAGAAACATGAATAGAGCAAACTGTGGAAACAGAAAAGGAGAAAAGAGGTAGAGTTCAAGATTTCACCTTTTCTCCTATTAGAACTCGAAGAATTGACTACTTGTCCCATATTCCCATTTCCGCAACTTGGAAGCTCCTTCAATCCCGAATTAGAATTCCCCAGGCAATGAAGGTTCCCAATTTCACAAGCATTAAACCCTTGGCTAGTCAATCCTGCACTTTCTTCCCCTTTGCCCTCGACCCCTGGATGAAGGCAATAAACTTGATCATCACAACGCAAATCGCATGGATTCATGACATATGCGCCGGGTAAGTTTGCATGGACAAGGTTTTGAATCCCATTTCCATTCTTTGGTAATTTCTGATATGGAAAAGATCCAATCTCCCCTTCAATTCTCCCTCTGATGTCCACAAGTAAACATTTGAGCCTAGCTATTTCAGCCTCCAATGCAGCTTGACCCTGCAGCCTCTTCAACAACTGCTGGTTCAGAGCCCTCAACTTAACAACTTCGTCCTCTAATGAGGCAGCTCGGGCCTTCTTCTTCTCACGGTACTTACGAACAGCTTCTCTATTACCCAACGGCCGTTTCTTAGCCTTCTTTTCCACAGATTCTTCTGTGTCATCGGTAGCTGCCTTATCTTCGGAGGGGGCAGGCAGGATTTTGGTGTGGACATGGAAACAAGTGTGTGTGTGGGTGGAATCTGGACCAGGTGGATTGCAAGTGTGGGTATGGGTGCATGCCTGGGCGTCCTTGAGGAGCTCATCGAAGAATTCATCCATGGAGCAACTGCTAGGGAGTTGATCGCCCAAGTTGGCGCTTGAGAACACTTCTTGGTTGGAGAAATCAAGCTCTCCGTCGTCCATGAGAAAACAAAACTAACTGCCAATTACTTAGTATTAATTGAGCGAAAAGTTCAAAATTCTAACCATGACCTAGATGAATTCTGCTATTCCAATGCGAAGAACTTTAGGGAAATCCAAATTTCAGAAAAATATAGAAACCGAGAAATTGAGAAACAGAGGATTTCCACCACGACCACGACCAGATGCAAATGTGTGGTTATTGTACAAAACAAAGCAAGAAAAGATGTCCTTCCAGCCAATTCTAAAAATCCCTCTTTTATAGCAAAACTGAAACAGAAATGGAAACGAAACCCCACAAAGAACGAATACGACGATGCCTACACGCTATAACATTCCAATCAAACTCTAGAAATGTTTCGCAGATTTAAATGGGCAAAAAGAAGATCGACGACCCTCAACCTTCAAGTATTAAATAAGCAACCACGAAACCTAGGGTTCTACGCGGAGGCGGAACCCCATATATGGTCTGTTGTCTCTGTTCTGAAACTTCCTTGTAACGATTGAGAGAGGGAAGAAGATCAAATATTTCAACGATACCCCAGAAATTAAAAAAAAAAAAAAAGGAATCGAGATATTCGAGTGTAGAAAGTGAAGTTGGATCAAAACTCGAAAGACGAAACCCTAACGAAAGGCCCTAAACAACCACAAAAGGGATTAAGGAAATTTGTAAGTAGCAACCAACAGTAACAAAAAGACCTGAACCCCCTGGTATTTATATGTAATTGTCTACCATTTTGCGTTCACAAGCTCCGATGAATGTCTTCTCTACCTACTGATGTAATAATAATTGTCTCGTAATATGTACCGAAAATGCGAAAATAAAACAAACGGAGGGGAGGGGGAATATCGAGATAGAAGCCGAAGAAAAGTTTGGACATTTGGGACTTGGGAGGAATTATTTGTTTATCAGAAGTCAAAATGCCTCGGTGGCAACGCATTTAAATTGTATAGGTTGGATCCATGCAACACGCAATGTCTATATCTCATACGCCAACTCACCACCGCCACGTGGCTATGAGAAATGGGCATCCCCTCTTTTGGGAGATGAATCATGAATGGGCCCAAAATAAGCCGTTCCGTGCCGTTTGATAACGGCTGAAGTAGCTGGACTGAAAAAAAAGCTTATTGCCTTGTCTTTTATGTAATAAATAAAAGTCAAAATAATAAGTCATTTTACTTCCAACTTCAGTTGTTAAAAAAGTGCACTTTTAATCCTAATCCAAGGGGCTTGTTAAAAATAAAATAAATAAAGTGTTAATGGATCTCATTTTGTTAAAAAGAAAATAAAATAAATAACTAACAGATGTGGTAAGTTAATTTTAAATTAGATCATCAAAAGTATAATAAGTCAAGTCTTAATCATCTATAATAAAATACATCCACTGCGCAGATAAAAACCCTGGTCCTAATTATTCTTACCAATAATTTCTCTCTCTCAATAGGGGTTGCAAGTTGCTTCTCACACACCTCATAGCACTTGGAGCCACACATCTAGAATATCTCCATAACTTATAACTTATCATTCATGGGTAGATGTTTCCTAGCTGCAAAATGTAAGGAGGTTGGCGTGTGGGTGCGCGCTATGAGGAGTAAACCCAAATTCCCCCAATAGTCAATCTTTGTAACATGTTCTCTTTGTCCCATTATCTATCATAATTACTAAAATTAATAGATTCCACTTTATTTTGCTCATTATTTCCCCCTTTGATGTTATTACTCTATGAGAAAAATCATAAAAATGAATTAACTTCTCACACAAAAATGATTGGGACACACCACATTTGAGGCAATTTAATTTGATATGGACACGTTAGGGTGATTTAATTTGATATGGCTCCACCACATTTTGTATCTTGACGCCTTCAGGCAAAAGATATCATTAACACTATTCAGTGGATACATCAAAATTCAAGTCCTCCCTTAGGCACCTTCATTCAACTTTTTGTTACATCCTTGTTCAATATAGAAGAGATAAACTCAGGAGAAGAGGATTAGGATTGAGGAAATTAACAAGTAAGAGCAAATTTAGTTAAGTGGTGAAGCTACCTGGTTACCAAATCTCAGAGTGAAAGTAACTGAGGAACCATCAAGGTGATCGAGGAGACTCCTGCAACTAGACAATAGAGCAAAAATACTCCAAGGAGGATGAGAGTTTTCCTCCAACAAGAGCTTAATACTAACTCATTGTCACCTTCAAAGATGGTATGAGAGAATCCCATGGAAATGGCAAATTTGATACTTTCCAATAGAGTTGTGGCTTTAGAAACAATTAGAAGCGAGAATTGATAGGAATAGCTCGTGCAAAGATGAGAGAACCTGTATGGTCCCTCACTACAATTCCCACTCCTGACTTCTGAGAGGAATTGGCTCCATCAAAGTTAACTTTTAAATAGCCATTGGGAGGCTTTATCCAATGCACTGGCTGAATCAATCTGTTCCTTGCAGGATCCATAAAGTTACCATGATGATTAGAAGTGATCAAAAAGTTTTGATGAGTGAAACTCGTGGCGCGTTGCATAATGATATGAGGATCCCATGGGCTGTTATTGAATACTAGAGTATTTCTTGCAATCCAGATATGCCATAGAAGAGATATGACTTTCAGTAAATCAATATCAATGGTGAACCTTGATTTGAAAAGCTTTATCCAGTTTGTGAGCCAATCAGCCATGCTCATGTCTGTAGTTACATCAGAATGGATAGCAATGTCCGCACCAAACCAAACTTGCTTTGCTAATGGGCATTTGAGAAATAAATGTTCAAATGATTCTTCTTCTTCATCACACAGAGAGCAGGAAGTGTTTATGTGTTTAAGCACCAATTCCAGTCTTCTTTTAACAGGAATAGCATCATGCATTATTCTTCAAATGAAAATCTACAGTTTAGGTAGAATGAATTTCAAGCTCTAGAAATAATGCCATGGGACCCCATCATAATGTAACGGTTTTTCTGTTAGTAGGAGTTTGTACCTGGAAGTTGTTGTATAATTTCCATGTGGTGTAAGAGTCCAAGCCAAAGTGTCTTCTATTTCTGCATTTGGGCTTAGGATAGTCATATTATATATATGGTTGGAGACAGTAGAGTTAATGAATGGGTTCACCAGATCACGATGCCAAGTCATTGTAGAGTGGTCAATTAAGCTCGCAACTTTTAAAGTCATATGTTAGTGATGAGAAGAGTTTAGCTGAACAACAACAAGTAACCATGGATCGTCAATAATGTTAATATTCCAACCATTGGCCACCAGCCATCGACAACCCTTTAGAAGGTATGGTCGGCATTTCAAAATGCCTTTCCAGATATAAGAAGATCCATTGTTGATTTTGGCCCGCCAAAAATTTGAGTTCTTAATATATTTAGCATGGAAAATCTTTGCCCACAAAGAGTTGGGATTGCTCAAGAAATGCCAACCTAATTTTATAATGAGCGCCACATTCTTCGAATTTGCATCACGGAAGCCAAGTCCACCAAGATCCTTTGGTAACATAAATGATGACTAGGTTTGAAGATGTAAAGAATTGGAGTTTGAGTCTGACCACCAGGAGTTACATCAAACATTGTTCAACTCATTACAGATTGTTGCCAGCAATAGATAAGTTTGCATTATATATTGTGGTAAAGCTTGAAGAGTAGTAGTGATGAACACACTTCTTCCAACATGAGAGAGAGTTTTCTTTTTCCAATTTGACAATCTCATTTTCAACCGATCCACCAAATAATTCCATTCCACAGTTTTAGCTCTTCCTAAGAAGAGAGGACCACCCAAATATTTATCTCCTCGCTTCATAAAGGATACTCCAAACTTGCTAGCTATGCGAATTCGTATTCTTCTATGTGTGTTGTTGCTGAAGAAAATGGACATCAAGAATACGGGTTGCCTCAGTATAACTGCATCTCCCAAATAGAAGAAGATCATCTGCAAACATCAAGTAAGAGATATGGATGCCAGTTTTTGGTGAAGTTGAAGCCATGAATCTCCCTGAGCTGAAGCTTGGATTCGAGGAGCTTAGACAACATTTTCATACACAAAATAAAGAGGTAGGGCGATAAAGGACATCCCCGTTGCAAATCTCTACTTGGACAAAAAGGAAAACTAGGTTTGCCATTTACAAGCACTGCAAATTGGGTTGTGGAGACACATTGATAAATAATGTTACTTATTTCAGCTGAGAAACCAAAGTGGTGAAGAACAAAGCATAAAAAGGACCATTCCATTTTATCATAGGCTTTAGCAATATCAAGTTTAAGAAGAAAGTTTCCAACTCTACCTTTTTGCTTCTTCATGCAATGAAGGACGTCCTGAGTGATAATTGTGTTATCAGTATGTTTCGTACAGGAGTGAAAGCACTTTGGAATGGGGATATCAGTTTGGGGAGGATCGGTTTCAGCCGATTACAGATGACCACAATCTTGTAAGAACATTGCTTAAGCCAATGGGCCTGAAGTCTTTTGCTCTTTCAACTGTCTCAGTTTTTGGGATCAAACAAATATAAGTAAAATTCACATGTTTGATATCCTCTAGATTTCTGAAAATATGTTGTACCCAATGATAGCTATAATTATAACCCTAGCAAGTGCATCAGTTACCAAGTAGTATAAAAATATCATTCCCATGGGGATTTAACAAAATAAGTATTAGAACTATAGTCTTCCCTAATTATTTGGACAATCGAAATTCAGATTTAAGAATAAGAATTACTGAAAATAAAAATAGAAAAAGAAAATAAAAGCAAAGGCAATCAATAACCGAATATGCAATGAGTGAAATCGCTAGGACCATTGGTCCACCTAACCATTCTAATGAATATTAATGGATGTGATTAACCAAGATCATTTGTCATTCCCATAAGCTGAAGTTTTTCCCAATTTTATTTAATATTCATTCTCAAGATATATTAAACCTATTTCTATCAAGTAACCCCTCGATCCCTCGACTAGAGTTCTCAATGATAGGAATGCATTAAGTGCAAGAAAAACTCATATATTTAGATGAATCATGTGTATATATCCCTATATATCATTCAATTCACACCATGAATTATGTGGTCGAATATATAAACTTCTCTCCCGATTCTTTCATATAAATCGAATCAATTAAGAGATGGCCACTCCTAATCGCATTAAGCAAATAATTCATAGACTATATGGAAATCACGATCTTGGATAAATCATAATGATAAAAATATATTCATTATCATGGTTAGGCTTTCCATAACCCTAGCTAAAAACAAATCAGTTCATGATAAAGGAAATAAAGCAAACAAGAGGAAAGAAAGAACTCATAAATTCGCCCATGATGTTGAGATCTCTTCTTCTTCTTGCCGCCACCTCCTTCTTGAAGCTTTCTTGATTTGCTGATCTCCTTCTTGAAGTTTCTTGATGATCTTTTTGATTCACTTCAGAGGGACTTTAGTAATTGATTAATTCAATTATTGATTGACGCCCAAAGCTAGTTCGCCCAACCCTTGATATAGTTTAGGGAGGGGGGCTGTTACAACCACTTGGAGTTATCTATAGAATAGATAATCCAAGTTAAACTCATTCTATCCTATCTTATCTCATCTCTTATCTAATGATCTCAATCTTTAACTTTCTAGAATTACATCACAAATTTAAATCTGGTAGGACTCTTCTCAGTTTCTTGTTTTTGTATTCGTATTAGGCTTCCTCTGCGAATTGGGCTGCTGCAAGTCTTTTCTGTCAGTTGGGCTTCAGCTGCGAATTGGGCATTCCTACGAATTTTCCCCGACTTCAGGCCCGGATTTGACTTTGATGCAGGCCGAATCTGTGAAAGCCCAAAACATGAAAGTTGTAGATTTCTCTCTTATCTTTCCAGTGAGTCTTTAATCAGCCCAATCGAATCTCGGATACGAGAGTTAGGCCTAGATTACTGAACGGTGCCAAAACTGTAAAAAATCATCTGATTTGCCTTGCTTTTTTCCTGATGCCTTTTTTCATGCCCTGAACCGAAATACAAGAGTAATGAGTCCATTTAAATGTAAATTAAGTGTAGAAAGACTGAATTTTCATAGATAAAAATATGATAAATTTTATTCGCATCACCCAAACTGTGATGTCAGTGCCCACAACAGACCATTGATTATGTAAAATTCTTGCATGCATTCCATCTGGCCTAGGTGATTTCTAAGGACCAATCCGACATAAAGTAGTCTTAACTTCCTCAGTGGAGGGAATACAACAAAGTAAATCATTCTCTTCAAGGGAGAGAATCATGCTTAAATTTGGAACTTGGATATTTGATAAACATGGGCTAATAGAAGTAAAAAGATCTTTAAAATATGAAACCAGAGTTTGAAATATCTCATCATCATTGGTGGTCCAATTTCCAATAGAATTTTTAAGACAATAAATTCCATTATTTCTTCTTTTGTTGGTTGCAGAGATATGAAAGTATGTGGTGCATCTATCACCATGCAAGGTCCAATCAACATTTGCACGCTGCTTCCAATACAGTTCTTCACGCATAAGCCAACATTCTAGATCTTTTTAAACTTTACAAATGTCCTAAAGAGTTTTTGGAGAAGCCGGGAGTGATTGAAGATGAAGCAATTCAGATTCAAGATGATTGATTGTATGGCGCATATTGCCATAGGAAATATTGCTCCAATTTTTCAAATCAATTAACATGAAATGAATTTCATGAATCCACATTTGTTCTGAACGTGTTATGTATTGTTGATCCTTCCAAAACTTCTTGGTTTGTAAGATAATTGGGTGATGATTACTTCCATAATGAGCAAGGTGTTGTACATAGGCTGAAGGGAATAAGCCAATCCAATATGTAGAAGCCAGGAATCAATCAAGCCGTTGACAAATGAGTTAATCTAGACCTCTGTTGTTTGACCATGTAAGGCGAGGGCTTGAGAAACCAAGATCAATAAGATTTCAATCACCCATAGCCATGGAGAGGAAGTTGTTTGTATGGGAGGAAACATCACTACCACCAAACTTTTCAATTGGTGACTTAATTAGATTAAGATCTCCACACACGACCCAAGGGCGGTTGGCAGTTGCATGAAAGTCCTTTAAATCATCAACAGAGTTTCTTCGAGCAATATAGTTTGGTGGGACATAGAAACAAAGAAGATCCCATTCCCGGTAATGAGGTTTATTCCTAATAGTGCAGTAGACTGCATTATCAACAATTTATAGCAAATCATTAGAAATGATAGAAATCCAACCAAACCAAAGGCCTCTCGATCTCCCTACAAAGGGAATTATTTCAATGTGATATCTCAAGAGATTTTTTAGAATATGGTGTGATTTCTCCAAGCCACTTTTGGTTTTAGAGATGAAAAATATATTAGGTTTGTGCATGGAGAGGAGCCTTGCCAAACGGGAAACTGTCTAGGGGCTCCCCCCGCCTTGACAATTCCAAGACAGAATTTCCATGGCTCTTGGTGGGGCAGTTTAGGCTCTGCCACCTCAGCCTTAGAGTTTAGTTGAGCAGCAGCATCTAGAGATTTAATGCGAGCTTGCTTTTTTAATCGAGTTCAAATGCTATTTGCTGGTGAAGGATGGACTCCATCAGTAATATGGAAACCTTGGTCCATTTCCAATAATTAAAAGTCTTCAATGCTCCTCTTTCGCTTGTTGATGATTTTAACCTTATCAATGGGCTCTGTATCAACGAGCATGGGTTGAGATTTGCTTCTGTTACTGGACAAAGGATGACTCTGTATTATTAAGGATTTTTCTAGATCAGAATTTGATTTCAAATCTTGGATTAACACACCTGATTTAGCAGGAATACTTTCAAAGAAGAGGAAAGTAGTCCTGCCATCCACTGTAGAATATTTGTGGCTTCACAATCAGTTGGTGTTGGCATTGATGCTT